CCCTGCAAAGTTTCTGATGATGATTGCTCTCCAAACCTTGTGTTCTCAAATCCCTACCCTGCCATCCATTTGTAACAATTTGTTACCGCTAACCTCGAGATAGCCGCGAGTAATCGGCCTCCACTTTACTAATGTTAGTTTTAAGTAATTTTGTGATCTAAACAATGAATATCGGCTCTGCAAAGCTACGGCAAATGAGCCTGGAAAAGTAAACGCATTATTTAAAAAAAAAATCTGAAATTCTTGAAGGTTCCTGAATTTTTCTGTAGTTCTCTGTGCGTCCTCAAAGTAGTACTTGGATCTCCCTTAACATCATAAATATCAAAATCTTCAGAAAATCTCGAAACTTCCAGAGTATAAGGAGACCTCAGTATCTCAGTGTACTAACTATTGCTGAAAATGTATGTACAGTTTCAGAAGCTATCAAAGATGTGGGTGAAAAAAAATATGCAACTTGCATCATTCATTAACTACCACAACTGCTGGAACTGAACGGGCTCATAGAATTTAAAACATTTGAAACTTCAATACCTTCTGAAACTTTACATGCATTCATGTAAGACACTCTGAAGATTTAACAAACTTTAAAGATTCCCGACAGCTTCTTAAAGGTCCTTGAGTTTTCATGTTTTTGATGGGTAGCAAAGGACAATGAAATACAATCGGTAATTCATCCCTGAAGAGTTTCATGAGAACTTTACATATTCTAAGCCATACCTGTCCCGTGAGAAACTATCCCATTTTAAGTTCAGTAAAATTTATATAATATATCCCTTGGACCAATCGGCAAAGGTGCAACTCTAAAGCAAGAGGAGGCTGGGTTCGGAGCGCAGCCCAGTTAAGGAAGATTTCGGTTTGGAATTACCGACTTTCCAGGGCACTGAACTTTCGACACAATATACCAATTGATGCAAAAAATGTTCAGCCTAAGAATGCTCGCAGTAGATTTAAGTCCATTTCAAGACTTCCAGCTGATCAAGTATTATTTTGAAGACCTTTGACTGTCCAATAATTCAAGTCATGTCTCTCAGATATTTTATAGCAGGGTAATCAGGAATTATTCCAAAGGCCTTCAGTTGATCAAAGATCTCCATGAAGTCCATTGGAATTTTTTTTTCAAGATTTAAAGTTGTTCTCCAATATACCATCATTACAAAGTATGACTTCTGGACATTATCTCAAGCTATCAGGCTCATCATACATTAATTCAAAAATCTTCATATAGTCCATTGGAATTTTTTTTCAAGATTTCAAGTTGATCGCCAATATACCATTATTACAAATTATAACTTCTGGACATTACCTCAAGCTATCAGGCTCATCATACATTAATTCAAAAACCTTCATACAGTCCGTTGGAAAGGTTTGATTACGGTTATCGACTTTTTAGTCAGTATTAATTGTTTTATGGAAAAGTTAGAAGTTACTGAGATAAGATATCAAATTCATCAAAAAATATTTCAAAAACCTTCAGTTCATCAAAGATCTCCATAAAGTCCCTAGGATGTTTTTTGACGTAGGACTACGCCTTTAATTTCTATACTGGGGATAACATTAAAAAAAAATCAAATTTCAGACATGAAACGAAAAATTCCAAACACGGACGTAACGATAGAGCGCAAATCGAACACACGACACATTGCGCATGCTCACATGAGCGAGCTCACCGCTCGGTTGACCGCTCACCATTTCACCAATGAATGAAAGGAAGGAGAGTAAGTAGGACTATAAAAACGTTTTCCAAATCACTTTCGATCAACGGATGGATAAGCGTCGGACACGACGTATGAGTGGAACAGCACGCATCGCACCAATACGAAGACGACGACGAATGCACCCACATCGACCGGAGGAAAGGCTACCCGCAATAGGCAGCATGACTGGGCTGCCGTCATCCGGTCGGCATCGACTTGCACTGGTGTGAAAGAGTCAAGCAATGCTAATTGTTCTTTCACAACAATTCAATTCAATGCTGGTCTTGGTCTGGTGTGTATGTTGCCATATACTTGCAACTAGGAACGCTCTGATGAAAAATATCCCAAAAGGGAGGGGCCTAGTTAGCTATTCTGAAAGTATAAACCAGACTGTAATTCAGTGAACGTGATCAGTTGCAATTCCATTAGCTGTGGGGACAGTCGTCATAACTAATTTGAAAACCTCAGAAAGTAGACGCATGAAGCATTACCAACGGCAACGACATCCTTCGAACGTTACACAGCTGAGTTTGACTACAATGATCACCTGCGTAATGCTGCTGCCAGGAAAGCCAACTGAGCACGCTGTCTCTGGAGATACCCAAGTACTCCAGTTTGGTCACTTCGATCCAAAATGGCAGTTTAATTTGCGATGGAGATGGTCACAACAAACTTTTAAAATTACAGGTATCAATAATCACTATTTTTCAGCAGCTTCACGGTAGCCGTCCCAAACGATCAAAAGGACACCAGAAAAAAAAACAAATAACAGCCCTTCTCAGGGTCACCATTTGAAAAACAACCGGCCATTTTCAGGGCCACCAATTCAAAAACGGAAAGAGTTAAGATAATACATTATCGATCAATTAAAAGAACTAAAGGCTCAACATATTTGTTCCGTCGTCTAGCGGTCCTACGTGAAGCTTCCGTTCGTACCCCTCGGCACAGACCCTTTTACTTTTTTACAAGATTATAGGTTGATCAAGGACTATGCTTAAGATCTCCAGTTGTCCAACAATTCAAATTATGTCTCCCGAATTTTCTCTAAAGATATTAAGTTCATCAGAAATTATTCCAAAAATCTTCAATTAATCAAAGGTCTTCATAAAATCATCAATAGGATTTTGTTTTAAGGTTGAAGATCTCCAACTGTCCAACAATTAAAATCAGAACATATCAGGGTGATCAGGAATTATTCACTTTCAGTTGATCAAAGATCTTCATTAAATCCCTTGAATATTTTTTTTTTCAAGACTTCAGGTTGATCAGGTATTATTCTGAAGATCTCCAACTGTCCAATAATTCATATCATGTCTCCCGAATATTTTCGCAAGATATCAGGGTGATCTGGAATTATTCCAAAGGCGACTATCAGTTGATCAAAGATCGTTATAAAGTTCTTTTGATATTTTCAGAAGACTTCAGGTGTATCAGGTAGTATTCAAAAGATCTCCAATAGTCCAACAATTTTTATCATGTGTCCCGGATATTATCTCGAGATATCAGTTCCATCAGATATTATTCTAAAGACCTTCAATGAATCAAAGATCTCCATTAGGTCCTTCTGGTGTGGGGACCTCCCTTAGCTCAGTCGGTAAAGGCACAGCTACAAAGCAAGACCATGCTGGAGGGTTCGATTCCCGGTCCGGTCTAGGAATTTTTCGGGTTCGAAAATTCTCGACTTCCCTGGGCATAGAGTATGATTGATATGTACTAATGCAAAAATGGTACAGGCATCGAAAGCTCTCAATTAATAACTGTGAAAGTGCATCTAGAACACTAAGTTCAGAGCACGCAATAAGCTAATATGGTGCAATAAGCTTGAAATGCGAGGAAGACGAAGAAGAAGGTACTACTGATTGTTTTGAAGACTCTGGTTGATCAGGTCGCTCCAACTGTCCAATAATTCGAGTCACGTCTTTAAGATATTCTCGCAAGGTTCTTTAATAAAAAAATCTAAGCTATTCTAGCAAGATAGCCAATTTGATCAAGAATTATTCCAAAGTCTTTTAGGTGATTAAAGGTTCAGAGAAGTTTACAGAATATCAGAGAAACTATAAGTAGGGGAATACTAAGGAGAGTGTCAAGGGCGATATTTCAAGAGATTTTCAAGCGAATTCCAAAAAAAGGAGAGACATTAAATAAATTCTCGCGAAATAGAGCTAAGATCTAATTTTGGGCCTACTAAGCACAACCCGCCATTTGCCTCTATTTTTCGAGTGCATTTATTTTCACAAAATGGAATGTTTTCACTGCAGATAACTTCTAAATTTATTAACCTTTCCGTACGTACCGTAAGATTTGATAAAGAGAATCAAATTGTTGAGATATTGTTAAAAATCTAACACTGCTTCTTGACCCCAAACTCGGCCTACGTATTCTAAATTCGGCCTAACGCATTCAAACGCCATTCAATCGCCTTTGAATTCACTTCGGCCTATCGGATAAAGATAAAAATAGATTCGGTCGGAGCGCTTCTTTTGTTTTTGAGAATAATAGGTGCAAACATTCGTATCACGCGATCTTATTGGCTTCGTTCAGTAGCTTTTGAACCATGCGTATCGTACCAAACGCACGATTGACTTGTTAACTCTGAAAGCATTTGATTTATTTGATTTTCTGATGCTCGGCCGAAGTAGTTCTCTACGCTAATTGAATATTTTCGGGTAACAAAAGTCCGTCGTAAATATCGCCATATGTGGCCAGCGCTCTACGCGCAAAGCGGTATTTTCAAACGATTATGGAGCTTGAGACCCACGGTGGACCTTCGAATACTGATCTCTACAGGTAGCGGTAGAGCGATGTAACATTTCTCGAAATATTCTGTAGAGTGTTTGGAAGCTCCTATGATGATACCAGTTCATTGTTGCAATCTCGAGAACCGTTTCATGCCTGATATCTCAATTTGTGAGTGATGTTCAAACATCAGTAACAATTTATCGCCAATCCATCGCAAAGTATATTTGGTTGAATATCAGATTCGATGTAGACATAATAACCGTTTTCGGTGCCTTAACCTGTCACTTAATCACCCGATCCCCCTCAACGTTAAATTATCCCACATAACTCCAACATTGGGAACTTTTCTGTTTACTGACAAACCCGTCTCCGGAATTCGTGTGATATTTACATTTGCCAAACATACATTCCGTGTTACATCCATCAAGTTGTCGTCGTCGCGATGCGGTACAATGTAAACCGATCATAAAGTTATGCCCATTCATCCATTCGTATCCCTTATCAGCATGTCCCAACGACGACGACGATTGATCATAATTCTTCTTCCTCCCTCATCTTCTTCCGCAGCGATTTCGTCCGACTTCAAAAGCATGCTTGAAGCCGGTGAAAGCAACGGTCAACCGGGACAGGAGCGACTACCGAGCGGTCATCAGGCCAGCGGTGGCGACAACGATGAAGGAGACGACAACCAAGACAACGACGACTACGACGATCCAGACAAAAGGTAAGTGCGAAAAGAAATTGCACAATTCGAGAAGATCGATTTCGCCGGCGGGCGAAACCGAACAAGATCCTAGACGTGGCGCCGTTGCCGTGTCTAGGATACTTAATCTTTTGTTTAAAGGTCCATGCCGGAACGCAATCGATGCAAGTTGAAAACAATCATTAAATGGAAGCCCTGCCGCGAGGGGTAAATACGACGGACGCGCAGTCTTTGTTTTCGGTATTTTGCAACAACAAAAAAAAAACCCACATGATCCAGGACCAGGACAAGTGTTCGTCGTTGTCCGTTATGCTTCGATTCTCCGGTGAAGGTCGTAGGAGGTTTGGAAACAAAAATCGATTCGGTGCGTCACAGCAGGGATTTAATTTTAAAAGGGACACAACACTGGCTGCCGCCGATTGGTTCGGTTTTCGTTTTTTCGGCGATCTTCACTATCTTCAGGTACCAATCACGGTTCAGTGGGTGTGGGACAAAGGGATGGAAATCGATTTCGACAGGTTGGGAGGGGGCGTTGCAATCGATTTAAACTGCGGTTCATGCTGGATTCGTGGAAACTGGAAGGAATTTGGCGCTTAAATCGGAGTTTTTGGCTAATGTGGAGTTGGGGTCACCAATGGACCACCGAATTCTGGCTTGCGCTCAATGCTTTCGGAGAGTGTAACAAGTTTCGAATTATTCTTTATAAAGCTGCGGAGCTGCTCTAGTAATGTTATTGCCTTTTGGTGTCGTAAAATTTTACAAAGAATATTTTTGAGAATTTTATGACATACATGATTTGCGACCTGTGAAGGCAGTTTACCGCAATCCAAATCGATTGCAAGGGAACCGACTAAAGGTGACATTACAGCCCGATCCAATCGGCGCCACAGATCTCTTTGCCTTCTTTTATTGCTATCCTTCGTGCAAACAGTACCGAGAGAGGTGCCATAAATAGATTTGCTTTCTCGCATTTGCTTAGGCGTTCGAATTCGATAAGAGTAGCAATGTTTATTCTAATGTTTTCAACGGTTTCCAACTGTTGCCTCTCCGCAAAGGTATGGATGCGGTGGGAAACCGGAAATGGGCCGAAAACATTTACTTGGGAAACCTTTGCACTATTTATCCAGTTGTGCGTGTTGCGAGATAACAAAAAATCCCAACGAGTTTCTTGCGCGGTTTCGAAGCTGTCAACTTGCCGATGATCGATTTGCGAACGACAACTCCGCACATTGCGCCATAAGTGTTCTTCACTTGCTTGCTTCCACGATGAAGAACTAGGTAGAAGGTCAGGTAATTTATGACACGGCGCTCAAATGCCACGAAGAAGAAGAGCAAGGGAACGCAGATAGCAGGTTTGGTCCTTCTTCCAATTTGCCGACTTGTTGCCTTTGCTTTCGGAGGATCGCAATCCCATTTCACGCACAAATTATGCAAAAAAGTGCTACTCATTTTTTCCTTCCTGAACAAAGGGAAAAGGAACGGAAAATTAATGACTCTCGGAGCGGACCAGCAACGCAGAACATCGAAAAATCTGGCGGTAATTATATCGAAGAAATGGGATATTGATGGATTTGGGAAAGCTGCACAAGAGATGGGTTTCAGTTTTTGCTTTTTTTTTTTGCAAATCACTGCAGGTCGGACGCCGCCGTAGCCCGGCGTGTCCCTTCCTTCGCAGTATGGTGCAATTTTCGAGCACCATCGGGTGTTTCTTTGTGTTCAGAATCAGAACTAATACGGTCGAAGTGTGACGGAATTGTTTTGGTGGGAAATTAGAAGACTCTTGAGTGACGCCTTCGTACTCTTTGTAAAACATGAAAGTTTTTTGGTTAATAGACGGCCATTATTGTTTTCAGAACTGCATGCGAATGGACGGAATACTCTAGAATCAAATTGAGCTTTGTTTGATGTTTCGATTGAGCCAGCGTTGCAAGATGCGATCGTGACCCAAAGTCTTAATCGGTCCTATTTTTCCTCAAAGAGGTTGTCATCGTTTTGATAACTCCCTGGGAATACAATGAATATCCGAGAGTCGATTTGGGCTTGGTCGAGTGTTTTAATTGACCCAGCGTTGCTAGGTCCGATCCTGACCCAAACTCCTTGTGGTAGAGATTTTTCATCAAAGACCCAACATTTGAAGAAATCGAAATTTTGATATCCATATTTCCCCATGATTGACTATTCCTAACAGGAAAATTTATTTTTTAAATTGTGAGGCTTGTTGAAATCGCTTACGATCTTCAATTTACCAACTGTGTGGTCCACAGGAAATCAACTTGTAATGATTTTCTACGATATTTTACATAACAGCTCCACGCCAAATGACGAATCGATTCATTACGACCATTACGACCATCTCCGAATCGCACGAAACATTGCAAAATTGTTTTTTTTTTAATGGTCAGTCATTCAAATTTGAACTGTGCTAACTATAGAGAAGTTTAGCAAACTTCAGGGAACTGCAGTGCCAAAGACGTACTGCCTACTTCAGCGCAGTTTTGTAAACTTCAGTGAAGATTTTTGAACTTTAGGAAAGTATTTCGAAATTCAGGAAAAATCAGCGAACTTCACTGAGGTTCTGGGAATGTTAGGGAACTGCTTCAAACTTTGAGGAAGTTCTGCATTTGTTCTGGTAAGTGCTTTGAACTTAAGCGAAATTCTAGACTTCAGTAAAAGAGTGTTCTGCAAACTTCAAGATATTTGTGCGAATTTGAGAGAAGTTTTGCCGTCACTTGCTAGTTCTACAAACTCCAGGAAAGTTGTACGAGCTTCAATGAAGAAATCCGAACTCTAGGAAATTTATGAGCATCGATAAAGTTATGCGAGCCCCAGGAAATTATTGCAAACTCCAGAAAAACAGAGAAGTTCAACAACCTTCAGGGAAGTTCAACAAATTTCAGGAAAATTCTCCAAACTTTAAAGACTGTGCTTCAGAGAAATTCTTCAAACTTTAGAAAAGTCTTGCACATTTCAGGGAAACACTTCGATCCTCAGCGAAGTTCTACAAACTTTATGAAAATTCTGCGAACTTCTGTTTATTTATGAAGAGCTTTGAGTGGTTTGGTTTATTTCCTTTAAATTCCGTTATAATTGCTTATCTTTTGACAGATACGCGTATTTCGTCTACTACTTGCTGACTTCATCAGTGCCAAGTACTCAATACCACTGTTAATTGTTTTAATTTTATTTTAAGGTTCATATTCTAAGAAGTCGAATTTTTAGCTATCTTACTTTAAATTGCATCATTTTCAGCTGTCCAATTTGAAGTTGGATATTATTTTTTATTTGGTTGTTCATTTTCAGTTCTTCCATGTTTACCTGTTCTATCGTCAGCTGTGCAATTTTCATTTGCCTTGATAGTAATTTTCTATCTTTTCTATCAGATGTCCATTTTTACCTGTTTCAAACTGTCCACTTTTCAGCTGTTGTTTCATTGAATTATATTCAGTTCAATCCACTTTTTTGTTGTTTTACTCCTTTTGTAATATCTTATGTTATGAACAGTTCAATTTCCAGTTCTTGGAACATTGGGTTGTCCATTTTTGAGTATTGTAATTTTTCATTCTCCATTTTTCATCTAAATTATTTTCAGTTTTCTAATGTTTACTTATTCATTTTTCAATTTATCAGTTTGAACTCGGTTTTTTTTTGTAGTCCAAATCCCAGTTTTCGTTTCCAGTCCAGAATAAAATTGCTTTTTCCGGCAGTCTGAAAAATGCTTCAAGTAGTCGTCTGCACGTTCAGTTGTCTAATTTTAAAATGCCTAGTTCTGAGTCGTTGTATTTTCTATTCTAAGGAATTTCTAGGGAGAAGAAATGAAGTTCTGAATTAAATTACTTTGTAGTTCTTAGATTCATTCCATGGGAGTTGTGAAAAGAACTTCAAGGAGAAGAGAGTTTTGACGTGAATTCGAATAAAATTATAAACAGACTTTAAAGGGTGTTCTGATGGTAATTGTAAAAGGAATAGACTCAAAAATTGAGAAAATTTTCAAAACTTGTCTCAGACGTCATTTTGATCAGAAATGCCATTTCCACGACATAATTTTTTGAAACATTTCAAAGACGCTATTTTGATGGTTGAAGATGCTAATTTCAAATAACAGACTAAAGTGGTAATTTTTATACGATGAAAGTATAGAGTTGATAGTTCCGTTAGAGTACGGCAGTGTGAAAATTGTATATAGAGAGTAGAAAGCGAGCAAGGACAACTTTTTAGGAAGGTACAAATCGGTTTGATCATCTCTCTTTACCAAACTCCCCCGTTGGAGAGGGATGGTGAGGGGTATTCCCCCGCCACCACAGGCTATTTTGATGATTTTACAAGATCTAAAATGACCGAATTTTAGCAAAAATGTGAATCATTGCCCATAACAAATGACATGCAAATCGGAGAAGGTCGATAGAAAAATTTATTTTTATTCGTTATTTAGTATGGAACTACTCTTATCGTAACTTATTCTTCGACACCTTACAACTTCCTCAAAATTCCAGGCTTTCCTGATGTTATTAGAATTACACAAAAGATCTCCAAACTTTGCTAAAGTTTCTAGACATTCCTGAATTTTACAATATTTTTTTAAAAATTCCCGCAATTCCCCAGAATTTTCCTAAGGTTTTGAAAAGTTCTTAGAAACTCCTGAAACTTCCCCTACATTTTCTTATTTTACCTGAACTTTTCTGAACTTTACCAATGTTTTTGATGCTTATTTGAAGATGCCCATATTTTCTAAATTATGGAAATATCCTAAATTATCTAAATTATCCGGAAATTTTCCTGATATTCATAAAAATCCTCTGAAGACCCTAAAATGTTCCTGAAGATTTCGAAACATTCCTAAAATTTTCGGAATGTAACGTATTTCCTCGGAACTTCTTGAAAGTTCCTACATTGTTTTGAAGTTAATAGGACTGCTGTGAAGTTCTCTGGTCATCCTCGAAGTCCTCAAATATGCCCTGAATATAAGGAACCTTTTTTGAATCTGAAATATTATTTGAAGTTTTCTAAACTTTCTTGAAGCTTCA